CATTCAAAAGTACTGTTTTAATGGTTGGATTGGAACCCACATAGTATGTGTTAGGGGTGTAAAAATGAAACCGACAAACCGCACCAACTCGATAATCCGAGTCAAACCGAGAAAAGAAATCCGACTATGGTTTGGTTTGATTTGGTTTGGTGTTGAAAAAAAAATCCGACCATATTTGGTTTGGTTTGGTTTTAACTAAAAACGTCAAATCAAAACCAAACCAACTCGACATTATATGTATAGAAGTTTTAAATATATTTAATAATTAAAAATATTTATTGTAGTGTAATTTATAAATATTTCTTAAGTTTTTTTATAGTTTTATCTTTTAACGTATTATTTCAAGCTTGAGCTTATAATTTTTGGATGCTCCAATAAATTTTATAGTCCATAAATGTTAGTAACTCAAATAAATCCTAAACCAAAATCAAATCAATACTAATGCTAACAAAACATTCAATTCAATTGTACTATGAATGAAAATAGTGTTGGATATTCTATTTTTTAGTTTTTCCATGGTTTAGATAAAATGTATAATTTATTTTTCTTTTAGTGGTTAGTCAGGTAAATAATAGTACTTATTAGTCGTAATTTTAAATTATGTTTGTTTTCATTATGGCTTATTAATAATATTTATTTTGTGTNGGGCAGGGGTCAAGGGTGGGACGGGAGGTAAGGGGCACAGGGATGCTTATAGGTTGAAAATTGGGTCCTGGAACATAGGTACAATCATGGGTAAGTCTATAAAGCTGGCGAAGATCCTGAAGAAGAGGAAGGTCAATATAGCGTGTGTCCAAGAGACTCGGTGGGTAGGATCAAGGACGAGGAATGCAGACGAGTACAAGTTGTGGTACTCTGGAGTCCTGAAGGGTAAGAATGGTGTAGGCATTCTGGTGGATAGGGAACTTAGAGAGTCTGTGGTAGAGGTTAGGCGGGTGAATGATAGGTTAATGTCTATTAAGTTGGTAGTTGGAGAGAGCACCCTAAATGTCGTGAGTGCGTATACGCCGCAAGCGGGCTTGGATGAGGAGGTCAAGAGGCGCTTCTGGGAGGGGTTGGATGATATTGTGCGTAGTATTCCGCCTGCTGAGAGGTTATTTATAGGAGGGGATTTCAAGGGTCATATTGGGTCGACTGCAGGCGGCTATGGCGAGGTGCATGGTGGCTTTGGTTTTGGGGATATGAATGCAAGAGGTACTTCGTTGCTGGATTTCGCAAAGGCATCTGAGCTAGTGATTGCTAACTCTAGATTTCCAAAGAGGGAGGACCATTTGGTTACTTTTCAGAGTACGGTGATGGAGACTCAGATTGACTATCTTCTCCTAAGGAGGTACGACAGAGGGCTGTGTCAGGATTGCAAGGTTATCCCGGGTGAGACCCTTGCGACGCAACATAGGCTTTTGGTGATGGGCGTCAGTATTATGATGAAGAGGAAGAGGAAGACTGCACGAGTTTAACCGAGGATCAGGTGGGGAGCCTTGACTAAGGATAAAGCTCAAGAGTTGGAAGGGAGGTTATCGGCTGTGAGAGCCTGGAGGAGTAGTGGGGACACGAGCATTATGTGGTCGACGACGGCGGATTACATACGGTAGGCAGCGAGAGTGGTGTTGGGAGTTTCAAAGGGTTACGCTGGTGGGCACAAAGGCGACTGGTGGTGGAATAAAGTTGTTCAAGGTAAAGTGGAAGCGAAGAAGGCGGCATACCTAAAGCTAGTTGGGAGCAGATGCGAGGTAGAGAGGAGTGCGAACAGGGAAAGGTATAAGGTAGCTAGGAAAGAGGCGAAACTGGCGGTCACGGAGGCTAAGACTGCGGCTTTTAGTCGTCTGTACGAGGAACTAGGGCCAAAGGCGGGGAGAAGAAATTATTCCGGCTGGCCAAGGCGAGAGAGAGGAAAGCCCAGGATCTGGACCAAGTGAGGTGCATCAAAGATGAGGACGGTAGTGTATTGATGAGAGGCCCAGATTAAGCAGAGATAGCAGACTTACTTTCAAAAACTTCTGAATGAAGACGAGGATCAGGGTATTGTGCTAGGCGAGTTGGGGCAATCCAAGAGCCTCCGCGATTTTGGGTACTGTAGGCGCATCAAAGTTGGGGAGGTCGTAGGGGCTATGCGTAAGATGAACAGGGGCAGAGCTACCGGGCCTGATGAGGTTCCGGTCGAATTCTGGAGGTGTGTGGGTAGAGCAGGCTTGGAGTGGTTGACTGGGTTGTTTAATATTATTTTCAGGACGAAGAGGATGCCAGACGAGTGGAGGTGGAGTACGGTGGTTCCGTTGTACAAGAACAAAGGTGACATCCAGAGTGGCAACAACTATAGGGTTATAAAATTATTGAGTCATATCATGAAAGTTTGGGAGAGGGTAGTAGACGCGAGGGTGAAGAGGACGGTGTCTGTATCAGATAACCAGTTCGGGTTCATACCGGGTCGTTCTACTACGGAAGCTATCCACCTTATTATGAGGTTGGTGGAACAGTACAGGGATAAGAAGAAGGATTTGTACATGGTATTTATTGATCTGGAGAAAGCATATAACAAGGTTCCTAGGGAGGTTCTTTGGAGGTGCCTAGAGGCTAAAGGTGTGTCGGTTGCTTACATTAGGGCGATTAAGGATATGTATGATGGGGTTAAGACTCGGGTTAGGACAGTGGGAGGCGACTCTGAGCATTTTTCGGTTGTTATGGGATTATACCAAGGATCTGCGCTCAGCCCTTTCTTGTTTGCTTTGGTGATGGATGCACTGACACACCATGTTCAAGAAGAAGTGCCATGATGTATGTTATTCGCTGATGACATTGTTCTGATTGACGAAACGCGGAGTGGCATTAACGAGAGGCTGGAGGTTTGGAGACAGGCCCTTGAGTCTAAGGGTTTCAAGTTGAGCAGGACGAAGACGGAGTATCTTGAGAGTAAGTTCAGTGCCGAGCCGAGGGAAGCGGGCATGGAAGCTAGGCTTGGATCGCAGGTCATTCCCAAGTGAGGTAGTTTCAAGTACCTTGGGTCGATTATCCAGGGGGATGGGGAGATCGACAAGGATGTCACACACCATATTGGGGTGGGGTGGATGAAATGGAGGTTAGCATTTGGAGTCCTGTATGACAAGAAAGTGCCTCCGCTACTCAAAGGTAAGTTTTATAGAGCGGTGGTTAGGCCGACCATGATGTATAGGGCTGAGTGTTGGCCAGTTAAGAACTCACATATCTAGAAGATGAGAGTAGCAGAAATAAGAATGTTGAAGTGGATGTGCGAGCATACTAGGATGGATAAGATTAGGAATGAAGATATTCGGGAGAAGGTGGGCGTGGCTCCCATTGACGACAAGATGCGGGAAGCGAGGCTCAGATGGTTCAGGCACGTTCAGAGGAGGAGCTTGGATGCCCCAGTAAGGAGGTGCGAGCGGTTGGCATTGGTGGGTACGAGGAGAGGTAGAGGGCGACCTAAGAAGTATTGGGGAGAGGTGATCAGGTGGGATATGGCGAAGCTTCAGATCTCGATAGGAAGCTGTGGAGGTCGAGCATTAAGGTTTTAGATTAGGAGGTAGTTGAGTTCATTTAGTCTACCGGTGTGAGGTTAGGCTGATAGGATTTAGTCTTAGACTTCTAGTGGCCAATGTTGTGTTTTCACTACTCTTCCGTTATTTATTGGTTATTATTTCTGCTTTTCATTTATTCACTGGTTGTTGCGATGTCGTGATTATTTACATGTTTTTATTGATGGTACTGATATATTGTCTATTTTTGTCTTTTCGTCTTCTTGAGTCGAGGGTCTTTCGGAAATAGCCTCTCTACCCCATCGGTGTAGAGGTGAGGTCTGCGTACACACTACCATTCCAGACCCCATTTGTGAGACTATACTGGGTTGTTGTTGTTGTTGTGTTATGAAGACTATGAAAAAAAAACCCTGAAAAAACCTTCAAATCTGAAAAATCCGAGAAAAATCGAGATTAAAAACTCCGACTTTTATTGGTTTGGTTTGGTATTTAGATTTAATAACCTGATACAATTGGTTTGGTTTGGTAATTAGAAAATCCAAACCAACCCGACCTATGTACACCCCTAGTGTGTGTGTTTTCTATACTACACTGCAGTTTTCATGTGAGGCTGCAAACTTGAACCTAGGCATATTGATCAAGTACTGCAGATTTGAAGTGAGGCATCAGTTGAGAATGCATTGACTGAATTCTTAAACATCCTCTGCTCCGTGAAAGGCAAATGCAGTAGGTTGCATTTTTTGTTCATCACAATGAATCAAGTACTAATTCGTTTTCTTTTCTTTTATATGGTTATCCATGCCACCTGGCCAGGTACAACTATCTATATGATATTCATCACAAATGATCAGCTTGTGGATATTTTTTAGCATGAATAAACTTCTTGTTTGATGCTTTATATTTGCTTATCTCAGTAGTGCTCAAAGCCTTTTGGGAGTTAAGTTCAGTTTCTGTGACACAACTTTTCCTCATAATGACAACTAATTTTTGTTACTTGGCTGAAATTATTGGAGTTATCATTCATAAGTTGTTGAAGTAAATATATTTAGGGCTAAGTTTAACTTCCACTGGCAGTAGCTCAACTCCTTCAAACCTCTTTTTCATAAACTTTTTTTTGTCATTGAGGAGGATTGGTTTGATATGGTAGGCTCTTTAAAGGTCAATGCCCATGCGTAAAGCTATATACTTTAAGAACAAATGAATGTGAGCACTAAGCTTATGGCAGATCTTTAGCAATAGACGGACTTAAATGGAGTGACATGGACAGTGATGAATCTTATAGTTGATCCCAAACTTGCTTGGGATTGAGACATGTGTTGGTCTAATAGTAGCTTTTCCTATTGGTTTTAGTAATAGATTCATTTGAGAGGACCTAAAATACGATGCAAGGCATGCTTTGGAAAAAAAAGGAGTCATCTCTATCTCTTTGAAAAATGCTCCCGGACACTTTTCCCAAGATCTTTCTCTCTCCTACTTTCTAGGATTGTAGAACATCCTTTTCCTGTGTACTCTTTTACCGGAATTTAGCACTTCTTTCTTCTAACCCCAGTTTTCACCCACTGTGATTACTGCTAAATCTTTCTCTTTTTTCTTGTTGGTAAATAGAAGAAAATCTTCACATGGGAGAAAGCAGGATCTATTTCAATGCCGGCTTCAAATCTTTTGATATCACCAGATGGAATTCCAACAAAGACATGTGGTTCGAATGGGTGGAGAGAAGTCGTAACATGATGAGATGCTCAACTATGGGCAGAAAGATCAGAAGAAAATTGTAAAGAGATTGAAAAATAAGGACCAATTTTCAGAATATTTATGTACTAGGAAGTTCAATGCCCACAGAAGGTATATGAGTATTTTGTCAATGAAGGGAGAAGTCAGATAAGTCATTATTATCCCTGAGCTAGCCTTTAAAGCAGGATGGAAAGACATAACATTTAAGATGGAAAGGTTTATTATATGTGTCCCTCAACTGAATGTCACAGAACCACCCAGATTTACTGAGGCTAACTACCTTTACGCCAAAACAATTCAAGAGAGTAAATGGCAATCCAATACTTTCCGTGAGGCAGCTGTCAGTATAATAAATGGAGACATCTCTATTTTGGAGTCACCGGGAACGAAGGACACTGGGTTGTTGAATAGATGTATTATTGGGTATTTCAGAAAGGAAGTCACTGAGAGATCCACATTAGCAGACATAAGGAGATGGGCTTCTGCTTTGTGGAACAAAGCTTTTGGGGTAAATATGTATGAGATGATTGGGAATTTGTTTTTGTTCGAATTTTCGAATAGAAGCATGGTTGAGCAAATTCTCCAAGTTGAATGGAGATGGAAAAAATGCAAGCTACATTTGGAATGGTGGAATCCTACTGTAGGTTGTATTCCAAACTCCCTAACTGTTAAAACAAAGTTGGATTAGAGCTGTGGTGGAGGGTGGAAAGCTACTGAAGAAGAAAAAGATCTCAAAAACCACCTCAAGTGGGCTAGAATTAAAATTGTCGACGACAGTAGGAATATACCTAGTGAGGTAGTGATTGAGAGAGATGGGATCAGGTTTTTCATCCCAATTTGAGCTGAGAAACATGCAAAATTTGAATTGAAGCCGACGTCAAACTCAGAAATTGGAGAAGAAACGGGTTCGAAGTACCGAAAAAATCGATGGACAAAGAACCCTTATGAGCCAGTAAAGGAGCAGGGTAGCCAGTTAGCTGTAGACGAGATGGGAAACGACCACGTGAGGTGTATCTTTTCACATTTCAAAAATAGGGGAAAGGCACGTGATACGCACACGGGTGGTCCAGGGTTTAAATTAACAAATTTGGGCATTGTTAATGAACCCAATTCTGAGACGAAATTAACTGGGCAAGACTTTGCAGCCCAAGTCATATTTAATGAGTTTCTATGGAAGCCCACTGAAGACAAAAGACTCGTCTCTTTTATAGAAGAGTTGGGATGGGTTTCTCGCTCGGACAAGGAACTTAAAAAGAACAACGCAGGGACTTTTAACTCAACTTAAAATCTCGAAATTGTGCCACATGCAGAGGTACTAATGATCTGGGATGAGTCAGAATGTGATGCGAAAGCAGGGATACATGGACATAAGGTAGATGATGATATGACTAGTATTAAAATGGGGGAAGGTCAATTTGGTAGTAAAAAGGAACAACAACAACATCTGCTTCAACTCAATTCTGAAATCAACGATCAAGATTGGGAAGTGGAGGATGGTGTACCTCTTCTACAACACCACGACTCATTAATAGAAAAAGAGATGGACGCAACACTATGGGTTCACCAGAATATGATCAAGCTGGGCAAAATATTCGGGGTAGATTTTCAGTGCCATGAAGAAGAAGCTTTGGAGTTACTTATGCAAATAGATAGCCGCAGACAAGTCAGAAGATTGGAGACAAATGTGGATGTTATGAAACTGAGATTCAAAGGTTCACTGGAGTTAAAAGGTTTAGCCTCTTTTGATGTAAATTCAAAAGCAATGGGAAAACAAATAGGGGGAAAGATTTGCCAATCATTATATTGTGAAGATCAATTTAGTATCATGGAATGTAAGGGGATTAAATGACAAGAAGAAAAGGGGGATCATAAAGAGTCTAGTGCTCAATTGGAAGGCAAACATTATTTGTCTGCAGGAAACAAAATTAGAGGGAAAAATTAAGGAGGTTGTCAGTCAAATTTAGGGTGGGAGATAGGTGAGGTATGCATGTCTTGAAGCTAGTGGCACGAGAGGGGGTATTATGATGTTATGGGATTGTAGAGTTTGGAAAGGGGAGGTCTTACAGACTGGTGCATATACTTTGACATGCAAATTTGAGTCTCTTTTACAAAATTTTGTATGCCATATAACATGGGTATATGCTCCCAATTGTAAAATAGAAAGGAGAATAGTGTGGAGGGAAATTGGTGCAGTGAGAGGCTTGATGGAAGGCCCTTGGGCAGTTTGTGGTGACTTTAATGTCACAAGGTACCCATCTGAAAAGAAAAGACTGCTTGAGGAGGTCAAGAGCGATGGTGAAGTTTTCAGACTTTATTGAAGATACGGAACTAATCAATCCTCAACTATAAGGAGTTCTTTTATCTGGTTTAATGGGGATAATCATACAACTGCTTCTGGAATTGACAAAATTCTAATTTCAGAAGAATGGGATGACAATTTTAGAAATATCAAGCAAACTCTCCTTCAAAGGTTGACTTCTAACCATGTCCCTATGTCCTTACATTGTGGTGCTTGGGAGCAAATCAAATCATACTTTAAGTTTGATAACTGGTGGATGAATACTAAAGGTTTTGTAGATGGATTATGATAATGGTGGATATCTTTTGATTTTTCAGGGAGGCCAGACTATATTTTAGCTTGTAAATTTAAAGCTCTCAAAGGCAAGCTAAAAGAATGGAGTAGAAGCAGTAAGGGAAATTTGCTGAATCAATTGGTATGCTTTGATTCCATACAACAAACAATAACTCTAGTAGAGGAGGAATTGGTAAGGAAGGCAGTTATTCTTATGGAATATGAGGATCACCTCAAGAATGAAGAAATTGCATGGCAACAGAGATCCAGGGCCCTTTGGCTCAAGTAAGGGGATAGAAATACAAAGTCTATTCATCAAACTGCTAATGCACACTAGAGATGCAACAAAATTGATCAACTAGTGATTTAGGATGAAACTGTGGAGGAGCTAAACATAATAAAAAATGAGATTATTGAATTCTATAAGAATTTATTTACAGAGCCTGAAGAGTGGAGACCTTTAGTCAGATTTGACAATTGCCTACAATTTCAGAAGAGGAGAAGGAGCGTCCACAAAGAAAATTTGAGGAGCAAGAGGTCTTGAGTTGCCTGAAGATGTGTGCAACTGACAAGGCCCCATGTCCTGATGGATACACAATGGGCTACTTCATCAAGTGTTGGGACATTTTGAAGCAAGATATTATGGAGGCTTTCAACAATTTTCACTCCCAAGAAATGTTTGAAAGAAGCTTCAATGCAACATACATAGCTCTGATTCTTAAGAAGACAGGGGCTAAGGAATTGAGGGGTTTCATGGCTATTAGCCTGATAGGGAGTTTTTACAAGTTGATCTCAAATGTTTTGACTGAACTAAAAAGGGTGGTAGACAAGCTAGTGGATGCACAACAAATGGCTTTTATCAAAGGAAGACAAATAATGGATGCAGTGTTGATAGCTAATGAAGCTATGGACTCGAGGATCAAACAGAAAAAGTCTGGAATTTTGTGTAAACTAGATATTGAGAGAGCTTATGATCATGTCAACTGGAGATTCTTATTGAAAATGTTAGAACAAATGGGTTTTGGGGAGAAATGGATCAAATGGATAAAATTTTGTATCTCTGCTATCAGATTTTTCATCCTCATAAATGGATCTCCGAAGGTTTTTTTTCCCTGCTCATGGAGGTTTAAGACAAGGAGATCGCTTATCTCCCTTTCTTTTCATAATAGCCATGGAAGGTCTGAACAATATGATCAAGACAACAAAAGTCAATGGATGGATTAAAGGTTTTGAGGTTGCCAGGAATGGAACTAATAGTCTGGAGATCACATATCTCCAATATGCTGATGACACTTTAGTTTTCTATGATGCTGAAGAGGAGCATTTGAGATTTTTGAGAGTTATTTTGGTATTGTTTGAGGATATCTCAGGACTTCACATTAACTGGAAAAAGAGCCATTTTTTTCTTATTACTGTAGTACCTAATAATTGATGCTAATATTGGGAGAAGTAGGAAGTCTACCTACCATTTATCTTGGCATGCCTTTGGATGCGATTCAAATCCAAAGAGATATGGAATTCAGTTATTGAAAAATGTGAGAAGAAGCTGTCTAGGTGGAAAGCACAATATCTATGAATGGCAGGAAGCCTTATCCTAATTAACTTAGTGCTAGATTCACTTTCTACATATATGATGTCCCTGTTTCCAATTCCAGCAGGAGTCAATCAGAGTTTGGACAAACTTATAAGGTTTTTCTTTTGGCAAGGGAATAAGGAAAAAAAGGTCTTCCATTTGGTCAAATGAAAATCTCTCACAGTTGCAAAAGGCCAATGTGGTCTGGGCATCCGAAATTTGAAAAATCAAAGCAAGGTTCTCAAAATGAAATGGTTATAGAGAAACTCCCAAGAACCTCAAACCTTATGGAGCAGTGCGATCAAAGTTAAATATAGTGAGGAAGATAACTGGGTGTCAAAGGAAATCAATACAATATATGGAGTTAGTGTGTTGAGATCTATTAGGACACTCTGGCCTATAATGAAGAACCACTAATACATTAGAGTGCAAAATGGTAACAACACTTCTTTTTGGAATGATAAATGGTTGGGACATAGATATTTATAGGAACTTTTCCCTAATATATATTATCTGGCTCAAAACCAACAGAAGACTGTAGCTGACATGTGGACTTCTCAAGGTTGTGATCATGTACTTAGAAGATTGTTGAATGACTGGGAGATAGTTAGATTGACTGAATTTTACAAGCAACTATAAGCATTTAAGGGAATACAGAATAGGGTGGACTCACTATGGTGGCAGAGTCACAACAGAGGAGTTTACATGGTGAAGGCAACATATAATATTTTGAATCACACTGATTTACAGATAACTAATTGGCCATGGAAGCATATATGAAGAATCAAGATTTCATACAAAGTAGCTTGTTTCACTTGGCTACTAGCAAAGGAGGTTGTTTTAACCTAGGATAATCTCATAAAAAGCGGGATTTCATTCTGCTCAAGATGTTTTTCATGTGGGAAAAATATTGAGACAATTAGCCATCTATTTTTACACTGCAAAATAACGGACCAAATATGGAAAATCTTTATTAGTCTCAGAGGTATCTCCTGGACAAGGCCTTGTAGGATTACTGAGGTTCTTTTCAGTTGGGATGAAGCTTGAGCTGAAACAACAAATAGAGATAGACAGAGGACTGTCCCAACATGTATTTGGTGGACAATCTGGAAAGAGAGGAATTCTAGATATTTTGAGGACAGAAACAACTCAGTACATAAGATCAAGCTTAGTTGTATTTTACTTTTTTGTTATGGGTATAAACAGATTCACAGAAGATACCATGTCTATCCTAAATATTCTCGGGTCATGCTAGGATTGCATACCACTATTTTTGTTTCTGCTTACTTGTAAATATGGTTTTCAGTACAATCTATGTACTGGTTCTTTTAATACAAACAAATGTTATCAGCTCAAAAAAAAAAAAAAAAATACAACGCAAGGCTATGTTTGAAGGTACATTGTTAAGACTAAACTCAATAGTTGGAGTCCACACTCAATTTATTTTCATTGGTAAGCTTCTGTGTAACTCTTACCAAAACGTGACTATTATTTTCCATATAGTTTCATGACTCTTTCTCAAAGTCAAGATCTGTATATTCAATACAGGTGTACTAGACATTTTTAAATATCAGTTATATTAGTATTTCGGTTGCCAAATACCAAAAAAACTAATTACTTTTCTTATATAGAAATCATATTTATCACAATTAAATCTAAAGTATTCAATTTGTTAGAACTTAATTTTGTTATTGACACTGATAAATAACTTATCAAACCTTCGGTTTCTATCTCCATGACATGATTCGCCACTTTAGAAAGTTGATTCTAATTGTTAATGCTTAACATTATTTTTCTATCTCTTGTGATGTTCTAATAATTGATACGTCTCCAGCAACATAAGGCTTGTCGCATTCCACTTCAAAATGAAATGAAAAAACGTCTCTTCACTTTTCTTTAGAATAATTTCTTTAATTCAAACCCACTCCCGTCAGCTTTAATTTACCTTTTCCTTAGTATCCAAAAGCTAATATGAGGATATATCAAAATCACACTCTTTCTCTACTACTCATGCAAATCACGCATATGCAAATACTTTACCTCAATTTCAAGGAAACACAAGTTTAAAACCTCCTGGGGGGGACTGCTTGCAGCACACCACTCTTGAGTGTGAGTGAAAATTCTGCAAATACCTTGACTCAGTTTCAAGGATCAACCATGTCAAATGCACGGTAACCCACCACTTAATTGTTTACCCGTAAAACGGTACAATTGAATTTATAGCGTGATTTGTAGACAAGCAAATCATCGATTTGATCCCAAAATGATAAATGAATTAAATGAAAAGTATAAGACTTAGCGTTGAAATCGAAATAAACAGCAGGTAGCCTGGTTCCGGGAGCAGTGCTTTCGAAGACAGTGATAAAAATAATATTAGATAAAAAGTAAAAGTGTTATTTCGCTTGAGAATAATATGTAGCACAAGTTTTGCCAGAGATTTCATGTCCTACAATGGTTGTTGAAGTCACTATTTATAGCTATACCTAGGGAATAAGGTCCTAAGATCAAGCTCCTCTTAAATGACAATTATGGGGGTCATTGATGAATATGTAACGGCATGCCATGAATGCCAAAATTCTCTGCAACTGCTGTGCATTGAATACTGAGGAATATACTTCATTAAATGTCATCTGGTGACAAATATTCATTTGCTTCCGTTAACTGTGTTCCCTTCGGAATCTTTCCAGTGCCAACTGAAGCTGTTGTCCTCGGACTTGGTTTCTACTCGCTTCATCTTCCATCTGCCTCTGGTTCTATGTGTTACGCTATCATACGAATATTTAATATAAACCTATTTTACCTTATACAGAAAGTCCCCCTGCTTTCCGGTGGCACATCTTTGTGTCACCGGGAAGTTGGTAAAGTTTTCTTTCTTGGCGGAAAATTTTCTGAACCCTTTTGAAAAGTTTCTGACGCTTGATAAGATGCACGTCTCCTCGCATTTAATACCCCAAACACGTGTTACTCTACGATTTAGCAATATTTTTTCCGGTTCTCGAGGTAATCATGGTCACGATGTTAGCCACCTATACCTTTACTTATACGCCTCATTCTTCTTCTTTAACTTGTACCAGTTTCATAAACTCTTCTCAAATTTTTTGCTTTAAACTTCTCTCTGCTTCCATCTTTCTTTGATCTTCTTCAAAAAACTCTAATCATCTTCTACTGATTATGGCTTCTTACATTAATTCTTCCAAGAACTCCGATCTCCTCTTCGGTGGGGGCCAAAAGAGGAGCAAAGACAAAGAGGTCGATGTTAATGATGATCCTCATATGGTGAACACCATCATCCCCAAACATCTCAACACGGCCAAGGACTTCGAAGAGAAGTTTCCCACTTCAAACCTTCGAACTTGGGCTGTTGGCAAATATCCTTCTTCTATCCGCCCTTCTAGAATTCATGTTGTGAAGGAGGATTGTGACTAGGGGTGGCATGTGGGCCGTGCCCGATCCTAAATGGGATTCGCGGGCCCGGTCCTAAGTGGTCCGGTCCTAGGCGGGCCGGTCCTAAGCGGTCCCGGGCTTCTCGAGCTTCTTGTTGGAACCGGTCCGGGACCGGAA